ATCTTTGTTTCCTTGATGCTGAGCTTCAATCCATATTGAAGGCTGCAGTCCTTGACCATCTGCAGCAAATGCTTCAGGTCCTCCTCTTCAGCAAATAAGGTTGTGTTAATATTTATCCTGATACCACATACTGAAGATATCAATTACTCTGTTCTCATATCCTCACATTTAGTAGCAAAGAAAATAGTAGCTGATTGTTGGGAAAATTAAGTAAGGTAGTGTGAAGTACCTGATAAGTGGCTTGATCTACATTATTTTTCCAGTCTTTAGTTGATGAAGTACATAATTTTTTTTAAAGTGGCTTGATATTACTGAATGATAATCCTCACACTCTGCCTGTATCTGTCAAAATCCCTTTTTCCCCCGTTTTAAAAACCTCACTGGTTTTGAGCTTATTCCTTCTCATAGTGATGCTCCAGCAGGTCTCCAGGGTTGTCATTCTTTCTGAGAAGAGACTGTCCATTTTTCTCCCACAGAGCAGCTGGTGGATTTTAACCACTGCACTTTAGGTTAGTGATGTAACACAGTGCACCAAATAAACAGATATATTAAAGCATATATTTCATTAGGCCTTTTAAACTGCTGTCTCATATAAAAGGGAGCTCTGGTGGCCTAGTGGCAAGAAGTAACACTGCAATCTCTAAGGCACGTGGTTTGAGGCCACCAGCTGCCCTGCGCGAGAAGGATGGACAATCTCTCACGTGATTAACTGTCTCTGAAAACCTGCAGAGGAGTCAGCTGTGAGTCAGTTCCGACTTCACGATACACAACAACATATAAAATAATGCTTTAGTATATTTTGCAATTTAGTGAATAATATGTTTTTTAAAAACATTTTTGTGGAAATAGTTTAAACATGAAAACTTATATCTGTACTTAACGAATCATTATAATCACCTATAGACCTTTTTTGAAACAATCTTTGTTCTCCACCATTGACTTTTCAGGAGAAGAAAGTAAACATCCTAGGAAATAGCTAATAAGTCAGTTCTTAAGTCAGAGTGGGAGGCACTGGTGGTCATGTTTCTTGATTTCCGTGGTATAAATACTTCCATGACCAATTTCATAGGATTACTGTGAGACAGAATGGACTCAATGACAATAGATTTAGGGTTTTCTAAGTTTAGTTTGAGGATTATAACATTGAATACAGAATTGGTTAAAGGTGCTTAGTTGCATATCATTACATAATGCTATAGGTTGAATATTGCCCTGCCAAAATTTGTGTCACCTTGGCTAGCCTCCAGTCCTTAGTGGTCATCCTCCATTTGGTGATGTGTTGTAAATCTTGGCTTCTGTGCATTAATGAGTCATGTGTATTAGTTACGCATGTTAATGAGCCAAGATGAGGATGAGTGTTAACAACCTTACTCAGGTTGCAGCCTGATTTCATAATTAAGGTTACTTTAGGTTATGGCCTTCGTCACCTTTTATCTTAAAAGAGGTGAAAAGAGAGGGACTGATTGCCACCAAGAAGAAGAAAACTGGAAGCACAGCACACCTTTTAGACCCAGGATCTCTGTGATGAGAAGCTCCTACTGCCAAGATCTCTACCGCCCATTGAGGCATTCCACACACATTCACATGGTGATCACCAAGGGATACTGGGCCCACAGGGGATGAAAGGAGACATGGATATTTCCCCACAGCAAATAAAGAAAGCCTTTCCTTAGTGCTTGTCCTCTGAATTTTAATGTATAGCTCCCTAACCATATAATAAATTTGTTCAGTAAAGTCATAGCTTTAGATCTAAGACATATAGTTAATTAAACCATAGAAAGGGACAGTCTCCTCCTGTGTGATTTACTGCCTCTGTTAATTCACTGTAGGGTCAGCTATGAGTCAGCTCCAACTGGATGGCACATGATGACGACAACAGCAACAACAAACATACATACATAACCTCAAGAAAATAAGAAGCTAACTCGGACTCAGAATTCACACTTAGAACTGACTCATAGCTGAGCCTTTAGCAGGTTTTCAGAGGCTGTAAATCACACAGGACAAGCTTGCCCATCTTTCTCCATCACATTAGCTGGTAGGTAGATTTGAACCACCCCAGAGGCTCTGCCTTTGGATTTGTACGACTCCATAAACTTTGCCATTAGAGGTCCCTGAAGAGAATGCTGCTGTTGTTGTTGTTATTACTGCTGCACTGGAACGAACTCATAACTGACCGTCCAGATAAAGGCAGTAAATAGCAAAAGATTGTCCATCTTTCTCCCTCAGAGCAACTGATGGATATAAACCCTGTGCCTTTGGGTTGACCACACAACTCCTTACCACTAAGCCACCAGGAATAGATAGTAGTGAAATTTAGGGCGAAAGTGGGAAGTGGAATAGAGGGCTGATTGCCTTTCTTTTATTAGTTTATATGATTTAATGTTTAATAACAGTTCCATTAACAACTAACTTATGCCTTTTCTGAAAATTTAATAGCATTCTCATGAGTTGGTATGCACTGGCTTGTAACATAACATTGCAGTTCTGAGAGGTCTGGAGGTTTGCCTTGTTTTGTTAACACAAATTGTTACATTTGTTTTAAATAATGCTTATGACATCAACATCAATTATTCTTCTGAGATACATTATTTGACTCTAAGGACAACAAAGCATTCTACATTCTGGTTCACAAATTTCTTTTCAGCCTTATTTAAAATCATGCTTTTCCCCTTTCATCCTCTCTATTTCAAGTACATTAGATTGAGATTATTTGCAGCTTCTCAAGCACATTTTCCCATCCCCATGCTTCTTCATTATCTTCCTTCAGCCTTAAATGACCTTGCCTCATCAGCCTGAGTTTTGCAATACTATTTATTTATCCTTCTAGAAATAACTCAAATAGTACTTCCTCTTCTTTCCTATTGTTAGAAACATTCTCATTCTCCTTGGTGTTCTCCTTGTACTTTGTTTATATGTTCTAGTTTGAACACTAGATATTACCAGTAATTAATGTCTGTTTCACTGACTAGATTATAGGCTTTCAAAAAGTACTTTTGAATTATCTTTCACCTAACATTAATACCTAAAAAATATCAATAAACACTTGTTTCTTTGTATTCTGGTTATTTTTGCTCGGTTTTTTATTGTAACAGGGATTATGGCTATTAAGCGTGCTTCTGTGCCTTTGAAAAACTACTAAAAGTGAAACTTACTTTGAATTGGATGTTTTGTGCTATTTCCCTGCTGATTGAAAAGCTGTATGTCTGACAATTATACACCCATGTCCTACCCCTAAAGAACAGCATTATGACTCTGTAACTTACCGAAGAGGAATTTCATTATAGGACACATGAAGAACATAAGATCCAGGAAAGATTAAATTATATCATAAATTTGTGAGTTACTGTTCTCAATTTAGGTCACAGTACTATAATCATAAAGTCAAATGTAACTTTATAATTTTTCTAAGGTTGAGTGAGGCCATTGTGTTAAGAAACAATCTTTGAAAGAAGCAAAAATAATCAGGCTTTGTGACTTGAAAGAAATTTGTTGGCATATATGCCTTCAAGGGTAAATTCCTGATTATAATTTCTGATATAGTATCTGATATTTTAGAATTATTTTATTTTCTACACAATAAAATATTAATAAAATCCAGTCATGTGAAGGAAATACTGTTCTAAAGTAAAAATAATTAAGAATGTCTTGAAGCAAAGACAGCAAATTTTTCGTTACTGTTTCATGTTTGTTTTTTAGTTAATCAAGCTGCCACCTGATGGCAAAAATGAGAATGACATCTTTTGTGATACTGAAAACTTATTTCACAATTTTTATGTATTCAACATGGCAGGGGGGGAAGCCTTCAAACTCACTGTTGCCAAGTTGCTTCCAACTGATAATGACTTTCCATCAGGTTCTGAGGCTTAAATTGCAGTGAGCAAAGACTGTGACCATCCCTCTCCCAAGGAACAGCTGGTGAATTTGAGCTGCTGGAGATGCAGTCTTTCCGTTAACAGTACAGTATTCTGTGAACTATGCCATCAGAGCTTCACCACCGAAACTCTAAATGGACATTTTACAATATGCATTCAATAATTACTTTGACTTCAGGAGAATCATACTTACTGCTTTTGTCATGTACTTTTAAGGTACTTGAGCAGGACAATTATTACTCAAATGCTCACCTACTAACCAAAAAGATAATGGGACAGATTCACTCAGAGGTGCCCTGGAAGACAATAAGGTCACCCACCACTCTTGAGCTTGTTTAGACTCATAGTACCCCACCACTGGGATTCCAGGGCTGTAACTCTTTACAAGAAGAGACTCTTCGCTCTCTAGGTTTGGTATTTGTTTGCGGCAAAATGGCCAGACACACAGAGATAGTTGGCATCGTTGGTAAATACAGGACCCATTATGGTGCCTCGCTCAGGAAGATGGTAAAGAAAATTGAAATCAGCCAGCATGCCAAGTACATTTGCTCCTTCTATGGCAAAACCAAAATGAAGAGATAAGCTGTGGGCATCTAGCACTGTGGTTCTTGCATGAAGAGAGTAGCTGGTGACAACTGGACCTACAACATCACCTCAGCTGTCACAATGAAGTCAGCCATCATAAGACTGAAGGAACTGGAAAACCAGTAGAAGCTGCCCCATTTGAAGCATCTCTAGCCTGTAATAAATGGATCAATATATGTTAAAAAAAGAAGAAGAAGAAGAAACTCTTCCTTTTTTCTCCTAAGGATTGGCTAGTGGATTCAAACTGCTGACCTCTCAGCAGCCCAGTACATTATGCACTATGCTACTAGAGCTTCTCTTAAGATTATAACTATTGAAAACTCTACAGAGTGCAGTTTAACTCTGACACATGAGGAGTCATCATGAGTCAGAATCAATTCAATGGCAAATGAATTTGTGTTTTTGGTATTTATTATTTTGACCTCCTTATAAGATTTCTTTAAAACCTTAATTCCTTTACAGAGTTTTTTAAATCTCTTCTTCAATTAATTGTAATTAAGAGTTTTACTTAAATATTGTTACTTTCTTTTTCTTCTTCAGCACAAAATCATCCAGATAGTACAGTGTTCTTTTACCTGTGGATTGTCTTTTTCATCATCAGTTCCTGCTATACCCTCATCTGGGATCTGAAGATGGACTGGGGTCTCTTTGACAAGAATGCTGGAGAAAACACTTTTCTCCGAGAAGAGATTGTCTACCCCCAGAAAGTATGTACATAGAACGTTTGTGCTTGAAAACTCAGGTATCCTACCAGCTAAACCCTGCAACACAGATTCCACTGAAACCCAAGTAGAGTTAGAAAACAGTAACTATAGTTGTCAAAAATAATAATTTATTCAATTATCAAAAATGTATTTAATGCTGATTCTAAGCTTGGCACTGTGGGAAATAAAGGATTCCCCGGGAATAACATAATTCCCCTGGTTAACAGGCTTGCCAGTGAACCAAAAGCATGGCAGCTGGAATCGGCCCAGAGGTACCTTGGAAGAAAGGCTGGTGATCTACTGAGACAGCAGCCACTGAAACCCTGTGAACACAGTTCTACCCTGATACACATCGGATCGAAGCAGCTAGTTACTAGTTGTTGTTGTGTACCGTCAAGTCAGAACTGACCCGTAACTGACCCTCCAGCAGGTTTTCAGAGGCAGTTAATCTCATGGGAGGAGAGTGCCCAACCTTCTCCCACAGAGCAGCTGGCAGATTCGAACTGCGCACCTTCGAGATTGCAGCGCATGTCCTTGACACTAGGCCACCAGAGCTCCCTGGAAATAAAAACAAAGTAAAACTGAATTTCCTACAAAGAGGCTTTAGGACCCCTGGTGGCACAGTACATATGCATTTTGCTGCTAAGCAAGAAGTTGGTAGTTCAAAATCAAATGTAGCTCAGTGGGAGAAAGATAAGGCAGTCCGCTCCCATTAAGGTTTCCACCAGTGGGATGCCACAAGAGTCAGATTTGGCACAGGGGCAGAGGGTGGGTTTGAGGGGGTTTTTCCTTAAGGAAGCCATAAACTATATGCTAAACAGATAAATAGATAAAGTGTGATAAAGAATCAGACTTCTTGCTGCCCAGTCTGACCCAGCTCATAAAACCCCTCTATCAGGTTTCCACGTTACACGGCTGTCCCACGTTACTGGGAGGAGACTGTCCATCTCTCTCCTTCAGAGAACAACACAAGTTGCAGAGCCTCTGTCACATTACAGACAGCACCACCAGAGCTCTGTGATAATGACCAGAGGAATGGATAAATTGCCCTAATTTATCATTTGTTTTTAAACATACAGTTCCCTCTCGAAAACTCCTGCTTCTCCTTTTCAAGGGTCCGTTTAAATGTTACAAATATATGAAGCCTTTCTTTATCCTGTTAAGTTGTTTAACCATTCATCCTAATACTGTTTTACCTATAAACACTTCCATATTTGCAGTTATCACATCGTATTATCATCTGTTTAGTTTCCATATCCCTTACTGCCCATGTAGTTCATAGTATAGAGCCAGCTCAATAAATCTTTGTGAAATGATTAAGTGCTTGATGTAATGAGTGGTATGAGAGAGAAACACAGGAAAGGAAATGACTGACTCTATTATTGATTACAGTATTATATACACATTAGACATAATCACAAACAGATCATGACTCTGGCTTGTATACATAGGGTCTCAAAGAGTATACAGTACAGAAATAAATTGTATTTGTTCAGTGGATAATGTAGTTTAGTAAAGTTTCTTGTCAAATACTTCTCTAGAATAAAATTATTCTGGTTTAGTCCATGCTTGTCACTGGGATAGGTGTGACTTCTTCCTGTTGTCATAGGTGTGCTTATTTGTGAGAAATGTGATGGTACACAGACAAAATTTACCTTTTTGTCCCCAGGCCTATTACTACTGTGCCATTGTTGAGGACGTGATACTGCGCTTTGCTTGGACTATCCAGATTTCAGTCACCACCACGACTACGTTGCCTCATTCTGGGGACATCATTTCTACTGTCTTGGCTCCCCTTGAGGTGTTCCGGTAAGCAGTTGCTTTTACTCACTCAAGTCACTGTTGTTGAGTCGGAACTAACTCTTCTGACTCTTCAGCTGATTTTCAGAAGCTGTAAACTACATGGTAAGAGATTGCCTATTTTTCCTGAGCAGAGCAAGCTGTTGGATTCTTATCACCTATGATTTTGCGTCACAACTCCCTGCCAGCTGGACCACCAGAGTTCCCTTAGTTTTTTACTTTATTGGTTTAGTGAAAGTTTATCAAAGACTTTAATTTTTTTTTACCTGAAAGAGGTTAATAATTATATAAATTCTAATTTCTTCTTTAACTGAAAAACTTATTTTATCCGACTTTTTCTCAGACTTCTCATCTGCCTCAGAATTTATAAAATTGAAGTATCTGTTGGTAACGATTCATAAGCAGGTGGAATTTTTTTTAGAATTGGGCTCCATGAAAAGAGTCATGGGTAGAAATTGAGAAATAAAAAAGCTTAAACAGTTTTTAGGGTCTTTTTGTTGTTCTTTTAAAAAAAGAGTCATTTTAGCTATTTCTTGGAAAGGGATATCATGCTTCAGAGTGTCACTGTGAGTTGTACTTGACTCAGTGACACTTAACAAGATTATTGGAATTGTCAATGATTTCATCTTACTTGGATCCACAATCACCACCCATCAGCAGCCAAGAGAAAAGAAGTATTGCATTGGGCAAGTCTGCTGTCAGAGACCTCTCCAAAATACTCATGAGCAATTATGTCACTTGGAAGACTAAAGTGTGTCTGATGCAAGCCAGGATCTTTTCAGTCACTTGCTCTGTTCTTCTGAGAGCTGGACAGCGAATAAGAATGACAGAAGAATTGATGCCTTAGAATGTGATGTTGGAGAAAAGTACCAAGTAGCCCATGGACTGTCAAAAGATCAGCAGATACATCTTTTGGGAAAAATGTAGCCAGAGTGCACCTTGGAGGTAAAGGTGGCAAAGCTTTGTCTTTCATACTTTGTGCATGTTCCTAGGAGAAGTTATTCCTTGGAAAGGGACATCATGCTTGGAATCATGGAAGGTTAACAGAAAAGAAGATGACACCACCCCCCCCCCAATTAATTGACACAGTGACTGCAGCAGTGGGCTCAAGTGTGTCAGAGATGATGAGACTGGCACGAGAAAAGACAGGGTTCAGGTCACAGGGCTGCTAGGAGTCATACTCAAAGGCACCTGACAAAATTATTCAGGTCAACTTCTCACTGAAAACAATGAAAATGCCAGATAACATGTTTTTCAACTATTCCTAAAATATTAACCCAGGATAACCCAAATATAAAGGAAAGCAGAAACTGAAATGTAAGCAGGACATTAAAATAAAAATAATTTCTGCCATAAAGAAAATTTGTCTCACCTCAAGGAAGACTCTGAAATTCAGTTGTGGTAGCCAATTCATAGCTTTGGTGATTTAGTGGTAATGAATTGCACTACCAACACAAAGGTATGTGGTTCTAATCTACCAGCTGTTCCATGGGAATAAAGATAAATTATCTCCTCTTATACAGCTACTGCCTCTGCAAACCCAGTGGAGGGTCAGCTGTGAGGTGGATTCTGATTCAACAGCATACAGTAACAACATGTACTTAATAACATAGCTTGGAAATATGAAGGGAAAATTTCACATTACTGAAAGTAGCAACAAATGGACTTAAAATTTGTATATGTGTATTTACAATTTCAGAAGTTTTCTTAACTCATAGTTCAGTAACATTAATTATGTTCATTATTTTTTTTATACCATACAAACAAACTGTAGTCAATAATCATTCCTAATCAGAATGTTTCTGCCTAAAGAAAACTGATATAATACTGTATCAAAATAGCTGGTGTTTTTCTTAGCCATAAATACATAAAAAAGAAATAACAGCTTTATACAGAAATTTTATACAAATATAGCTTTAAAATTATTTGTAAACCAAAGGAAGATATATTGTAAACATCATTTATTTTCACATTAATTGTATCATTTTCTAAGGTGATCTATTAGTTTTATGTAACTAACCTTATTTGTGTGATAGTAAAAATTGCATACAACAGTAAGAGTGAAGTTACAGTATGACTTGCTTGGATAACGTAACACTATTTATAGGTACCTTATCCCCACATTTTTCCGTCCTTAATTGAAACTCAGTGTCCCCCAAGCATTAAGCCTTCCTTTCACCTTTCTTTTCTCCCACCTTGGTCTTTTTACGCTTGCCTAGTCAAGTTTTCACATAACAAAAAAGCCCAAACCCACTGTCAGTTCTCAGAGTGACCCTTTAGGACAGCTTAGACCCTGGTTTTAAGATTTTCAGGAAAGTAAATCTTTACAGAAGCAAACTGCCTCATCTCTTCTCCCGTGGAGCTGCAAGGGGTCATGGAGTGGCTGGTGGTTTTAAACCTCTGACATGTTAATTTACAGCCATTGCACCACCATGGGTCCTAGATATTTCCAGTGATATTTGTAGGATCATCCTTACGTGCCTGATTGACTTGGTGGTGGTGTTGATGGTGGTGTACCATACCATTGAGTTGGAACTGACCCAGAGCTGACCTTCCGGCGGGTTTTCAGAGGCAGTTAATCGCACGAGAGGAGATTGCTCATCCTTCTACCATGGAGCAGCTGGTGGACTCAAACTACGTGCCTTAAGGATTACTGCTCAACTTCTTATCACCAGGCCACCTGAGCTGCCTTTGACTGACTTTAGTGAATATAATATGTTCACATTTTATCCACATGGTAGCATGTACCAGGTTTTGTGGACTCTTCCTCCCACCCCCCCTTCATGGCTGAGTAGTACTCTATCATGTGTAAATATGACATTTTCCTTATCCATTCATCTGTTGATGACCATTTAGGTGGTTTGCACCTTTTTGCTGATGTGAATAGTGCTGAAATCTTGGTGTTCAGGTGTCTGTCTGTTCTTCTGCCTCCACTTCGTCTAGGATGGCGTTGCTGGGTTGTCTGTTATTAATAAATGGGGTTACCACTCACACAAACAAAAAAATCCAAGAGAGCCCACATCTCTTAGTAAATTCTCTCACCTCCATATTTATAAATAAATCCCTCATCTTCCCACATCTCATTATCCCTGTTACTTGTATCTTAAACCACGTCCTTAATCACCATTCTCTATGACTTCAACAGTCCTCATTGGTCTTTGTTTGATTTGGCTTGTCTCCATTCTGTTCACAGTGCAGGAGATAAGATTATCTTTTAAACAAATCAAATCTGTTAAAATCGGGGGGAAATAATGTTATTGTAAAAATAAATTTTGTTAAAAAAACAAATCACATCATTTTTCTGCTCATAACTCTCATTGTTTTCCATCACACTTATAATCTAAACTCTTGACTCTGGTGCTTTGTGAATCATGCCATTTTCCTAGCAACTAAGACCTTTCCAACTTAGGGTCTCTTCACTACTTGAGATTTTCTATGCCTAGGATACAGGCATATATATATGGGAGTTTTACATGGCTCTTCCTTTAAGTCAGGTTTCAGGTTTCTGCTATATGACAGCTCTTCAGAGAAGCCTACACTAATGAGTCTTACTGTATTCCTCTTACCCTGCTTCATCCTCTTCAGAGCATTTCTTTTCATCTCATTGCCTCTTTACCTGCTTGTTATCTATCGCTGCTACTAGAAATTACACCTATCAGGGCAAAGGGTTTGTCTACCCTATTCTGTGCCTTTCCCTAAAATATAGTACACTAAACCACTGCTGTTGTCAATTCCAACCCACAGCCCCAACACAAGCAGATTTCCAAAGCTGTAAATTTAAACTGAATCTGCCTGCCTCATCTTTCTCCTGCACAGTGTGTAGTGAATTTAAACCACCAACTTTTAGGTCAGTAGCTTAACACAGGCTCCCTTGTCATATTAATGTTGTTGTTAGATAAAGTAAAAGAATGAATGTTCAAAAACTACGTTCCACGAGGCCTGTCCTTTTGCCTACTCTGCTTTTATTTTTCCCTGAATATTTCCAAGTTTTATTTTAATATTCTGGCCCTTCATTCCTTTGTGTTTGTTTCCATGAGTAGAAATTTGAAGTACCAAGATGTTTATAGGTAATAGTTCGTATATTCGAATTTTGTAATTAAATTGAACTAGTGAAAACTATTTTGAAGCAAATTTTGATGTCATAAAAATGCATAGCTTGTTGAATTATATTTTGCTGTGTACATTCTCAACAACAACAAAATAAAATTTTTCAAAAATTAAAAATTACTTGTACTTGCTCTCACCTTTAATAAGGCGATTTGTGTGGAACTTCTTCCGTCTGGAGAATGAACATCTGAATAACTGTGGTGAATTCCGTGCTGTACGAGACATATCTGTGGCCCCTCTAAACGCAGATGATCAGACACTTCTGGAGCAGATGATGGACCAGGAAGATGGAGTGCGAAATCGCCAGAAGAACCGGCCATGGAAGTACAGCCAGAGCGTATCCCTGCGCCGGCCCCGCCTGGCTTCTCAGTGAGTAGGCTCCCGCATTTCCATCAGATTTTGAAATGGATAAACAAATAAGCTAAGAATTGGTCAAGCCAATACACAGTAATTTTGATGCATAAAAATAGCAATAAATAAGCAAACTCATTTCATATAACCCAACCTATGGAGTTTAAAAAGCCATGAGTGCCTATAATTTATTGATTTGGCATTAAAAGTACACTATCTATGGAAAATTTCCTTGAGGAATGATTTCTTTAGCTCTGATATATTTTGTATAAAAATACAGAGCTAAGTTAGAAACTTAAGAATTCATGACTATACATTTAGCATCCAAATTACTTAATTTCATCTTTCATCTATAAAAATAGGATTAAGGTAATTCTTGTTTCATGAGTAGTTAAGTAGGTAAATTTGTTACTGTACAGAATTTAAAACAGTACCCACACAGAGAGACTTCTGTAACTGTAAGCTAGTATTATTTTTTATCTTCTTGTCAGCTGTTGACTTTGTATATTCTTGAAAGTAATAACAATCTGATATATGGTTGATGCCTTTGAAATTTAGAGACAATAGCTATCACAGTGAATTAGAATGAATGAAAGACTTAGGTCAGGCATGAACATATTTTAAAGCATAGAATGTATGAATACTCTAGAGGCACAGTGTGAATAAAGGCAGAAATGAGGGACAGAAAGAAAAGTATGTGACTAGAATTGTAGTGAGAAAAATTTACCTCAGTAGATGAAATAGCATAACAATCTGATCTTTTAGACAGTGAGGAATCAATCCTAGAAAAAGTTTTCATGGAAGAATCATATTAAGAATTTTGTATTTAAAAAGTGGCATTTGCATTTTAGGAAAAGAATAGTGAAACTGTCTAAGAAAAGGGAAAACTGAAGGTCAAAAGACTAGGAGGCGACTGTCGTGTTCTTAAGTGTGGGACAATGAGGACATGAAACAGGCTGCTTATGGTGAAAAACAGGAGGTGGTATCAGTGATCACCTGTTATAAGAAAGTAAAGTAGAAATTGCACGAAACTTTAACTTCATAATTAAGGCTTTACATAGAAATTTGGAAGGTCTCTGATGAAGAGAGATGGAAGGGGGAATATAGGGAGCAAGAACCTCATTTAGTCTCAGGGAAAGAAAATAAACAAGCAAGATGGCCATTAAAGGAATGGCCAGGAAGGTGAGTAGAACGAGCATCAAAACAAAGCATGATTCTTTTAAAATCAAGAAAGCAGAGTTTGAAGAAGCCGTTAGTGAAGGGAGAGGGCAAGGTCAAAGAGCTGGAAGAAAATTTTGTAAGTGATTGTCTTATTGAGCTCCCAAAACTACAAAATCTAATCCTGGTTAGTCACCAGAAGAGGGCAATCTAAACATACATAATTTCTGCTTCCAAACATGGAGACTCTTTGACAATAAATTATGATACACCATTTCAAGCAGTTAGTGGAAAAACACTGGGAAAGTAGATTAAACCAGAGAACAATATTTGGGACAGTGGAGCAAGTTATGTACAAAGAAAGAAAGAAGAGAGAATATAAAATCAAAAGATTAGATTATACCAAATGCAGGACTCATGTGATCTTTAACATATCTTTAGCCTTTGTGGATCTCAATTTCTGCCACCCATGTAGGAATAATACATATTTCACCAAAAACCATTTCATCTCAGGTGCTTTAATGGGTTACAGTATATTTTAACATTACCTTAACAATTACATTTAACAATAATATTTCTATTCCCATTTTCATCCAGAGCAAGATTCTTCCAAAACATGCTGAAATAGACTGCCAGCATAGTTTTTTAAAAATGAAAATAACAACACATTATAATGTAATAAAGTAAAATTATAAATAAGTATAAATTATAGCAACACATAACATAATAAAGTATATTTGAAAGCATCTTTTGATAATCATCCTTGATAATGAAGTTCTCTTCTTGATTATAAGAGGTACCTGATTTTATTGTTGGCCTGTTACAGTGTTAGATAGCAGATAGCTTGCGTTGGTCTTAGATATGCTATAACTTCAGCCAATTGATCCCAGTTGGGCTTCAGACTTAGCTTGGAATGAGTCATTGCCTCGCTCTTCTACCATTATACTGTGTCGGCTGTTTGGAGATGGGCAACTTTCATGCCTCCTTTTCAGGCATACCTCGATGGCACTCTTTCTGTCATCCTCATAATTCCTTATATTCATTTAACACTTTACTGAGTTTTTTAATACACATTTTCTGATTTGATATCCACACTGTCTCCATAAGGTGAAATAAGTATTATTCCTGTGTTACAGATATGAAACTGGCCTTTAAAGAGGTCAAAGGTATGCATCATTTAAAAAAATATGCATCATAAAACCAAGTCAGTACTCAAACTCAGAACTTCTTACAGATTTATTGCTCATTAGACATGACATGACTTGCCATTATTCTTTTCTTCTTCATTTGGATGAAATCTTACTTCTTAAAGTTTTTCAATAGAAGCTTAAATTAAGCCTAAAACCCCAGGAATGATCCATTCACTGCTATATATAGTGCTTCTTTACCTTTGTTTAATGATGGAAAGATTAAAAATGCCCTTATTTTATGGATGTGTTTATATTTTTAGCAATGGACTAAATACTTTTTATTCCCCTTGTTATTACTAGATCCAAGGCTCGTGACACTAAAGTATTGATAGAAGACACAGACGATGAAGCTAACACTTGAATTCTCAGAAGTCTAGATTAACATCCTTGGTTTTCATTCTCTTCAATTCCTTCCTCGACCAACGCAACCTCTAGTACCTTTCCATCTGAAAACATAACACATTTCCGAGCTCTTCCAGATCGGATCCTATGGACTCCAAACAAGCTCACTGTGTTTATTTTTCTTTTCTTCTGGTTTAATTTTAATTTTCTATTTTTGAAACAAATATTTACTTCATTTTGCCAATCAGAGAACATTTTAAGGAACAAAAAACATAGTATCCTATGGATTGTTTACAATCACAAGGAGACAGATACCTATCAGGATGAAGAACAGGACACAAGGACCTTCTGATGGGACAGTACCGAGATGTCTCGGCTTCAGCTTGGCCCGGTTTTGACTGGTTGAAACCAGACATTGGTTTTTAAAATTTTTTTGTCAGTTTATGTGGAGAATTTTTTTCCTTTCCTTCATACCCAGCGCACAGGCACTGGCCGCACTTGCAGGGAAAGTGCAACTTGGAGCAGTACCTTCATTCATGAAGCTACTTTTTAATTTGATGTAACTTTTCTTATTTTGGGGAGGGTTGCTGGGTGGGTGGGAAATATGATGTATTTGTTACATATAGTTTTCTCATTATTTATGAAACTTAACCATAAGAGAATGATATAACTCCTGTGCAATGAAGGTGATAATGGTGAGAGATGACGGGAAGCTGATGGTGGAACGGCACTTGTGAGGGTTCACTCCCACAGTACCTCTTTCATGAGACAACTTGCACCAGTCTGACTTTTTCTTTTCATTTCTTTTTAATTTTAAACCAAAGTTTCTGTTACTGAGTATTCTTTTTTTTTTTTTAGTTGCTGCTATTGCTTTACAATCTTAAGCCTATTTCCCATAGCACACTTTCACACAACTGGTTTGAATTTACATAAAAGGTTCTGATACTTTTTTTTCCATTAAGTACAAATATGGAATAAAAAAAAATATGGAATACATTTACCCACATCCAGTCATAACAACTGAAGTTACGTGTTTTCATGCTTAAGTTTGGGGGTGGGGGAGGAATTGTAGTGAAACCTTTGCAGACTCTGAATTAGCAGACAAAACGATTTCAGAAACTTTAGAAACACCCTAATTTTTCTTCTGGGCTCACTCATTTGAGCCATATTTTGATCAAATTAAAAGCCTGTTGTGGAGAAATCTTATTTTTGAGCTCATAGAACAAATTATCCTTTCTCTTTCACAGTATATTAATAAAACAGACCTTGGCAGCCATTTCACTCAGCAGCTTTAAGGATAGAGCATTGTATTCCATTTTTCTCTCATGGGGGGAAAATCCCTGCTTTTCAATTTTTAGGGTCTTAACTTGGTAATGTAGGAAAAGTATTATTTCTTAGAAATTTCATCCTGTCATAGTCTGTGCACAGTGCCCATTTGTTAACCCTTTGTTGTTTTATTTTTCCACTTTGTTCCAGAGTCATCCAAATAAGTCATAAAGCCTAAAGGGATTGTACTTTTTTATAATATGGTTATAATTAAATTTAGAGTTTCATTAACTAAGAACATGAGTACCAGGGGGAGAAAATATTTTCATCTTCCCCCTAAATCCAGATGATGATTTTTAAATACTCATTTCTACTGAATAGATTATAGTAGTTGTGTCACTGAATGCTTCACATTGTATTTTTTCTGTTCCCAGTTCCTCATGCTATTCAGAGTTAACATTGGTGGATCATCAAAGCAAATTACTTCTATTTTCAACTAAATTTTAGTAGGCGAGGTAGCTGCTATCCCTTAGTCTTAAAACCTGCCCTTCCAAGCACCCCTTTTGTCACAAGCCTTTATTCATCCCTGACATAATTCCAGTAAGTTACATTAAAGTTATTGTCAGTATCAAAATTCTGACAGTTTATTTTTAAGGAAATTTTCTCCATTTTTGTTCTGACAATCTTCTGAAATTTGCTCCTTTCAGGAATAGAGAGGATTTTTTTTCTGAAAAATCATCCAATTTTGTGACTTTTATTGATTGTATGTCTGTGTGTATATGTGTGTGCACGCATGCACACTTTGCTAGGCATGTTCCTTGTCCCACAGCTAAAAGGAAAGATTTCATTACTGAGGATTTCAATAACTTAAATCACTTACAAAAATCAGTGGTAACAATTTAGTGGCCCTTGATAGATTAAAAGTTGTATTACTTATCCTTGGGATTTATTTCTTCCCCTAACTATTCTGTTTTGTACTAAGGGAAAATATCACTGGTCCGTCAAGAAACAGCAGCAGTAAGAATTACTGACTTATATAGATGAATCCAGTGGACCAGTCATTTTTTTTTTACACAAATAAAATTGGTGGTACTATTATGTATCCAGAGCCATTTGAACTGTAAACTCATTCGCTCTTCGGGAATCTATGAGATGACACAAAATCGTTCAGGTGACTTTGTGTATTTGGTTGGACTCCCTGGTATTTTCTCTTCACTATGTCCTGTGACCAGTTTGGTTGTCTTCAACCATTAGAAGTCTAGGCCCTCAATAGTGTTATTTTGTTCCTTAGACAATAACATTATTACAGTATACTCCTTTTCTGATGTGTTTTTTCTATGGGCATAATCTGTTCAAGCATGAAAAGGCTTTTCTAATCAGCCTGCAGGACTGGTATTCAAATATGTATCAAAACACATTGTTTTATGTTCCTCTTAAAACTATAATGAAAGAAATGTTCCTCATCAGGAAAGTTTGAAAACAAGAGTACACATTTATTCCCCCTCGTCCCCATTAAAAAGGGCAACGTGCACTTTTCTCTCAAGTTTATATACCTTAGCTTGAGGAATATGATGCCCTACTAAAGGTTAGTGAACTTCTGTATACTGAAACTCACAGAAGAAATCATTGTCATTTTAAAAGAGAAACAATCCAACTAAAGGTAAACTTTATCAGATTTTAGGTTTAGAAATTCCAGTTTTCTTTTTATTTGAGAAATACTGAATTTATTATGTCAGTCAAGACAGTCCCCACAGAACAAAAAGATAGTATAAGTAAAAGAAGTCAAACTCCTTTTTTCACTTTGTAATAATAAGAGAACATTGGTAGGGAATAGAGAAATAAGACAGTATTTTTTTTTCTGAGCACCAATGTTTAAGGCTACATATACTAGTAGAGCAAAATAGATGATTTCTTAAATATAACCAAACCCGCTGCTTTTGAGTGAATTTTGACTCTTGGTAACTGTGCATCGAGTTTCTGGGACTACGGAAATCTTTGTGGGAGGAGATGGTCCATTTTACTCCCATGGAGTGCCTAATGGATTTGAACCACTCCAACACATTATGCACTATGCTACCAGAGCTCCTTTCTTCATACCTTATAGAGGCAATTATCAAAGATTGTCATCACTGAACACACACAGACTCCTGCCATTGAGACAATTCTGACTCATTAGAAACCTTGTAAGACAGAACTACCCCATAAGGTTCCCAGGACATTAAAGCTTTACAGAAGCAGGCTGGCAGCTGTTCGGAGCAGCTGGCCAGGTTTGAACCACTGACAGTTCTGCTCGCTCACTGCAACACCAGGACTCCTAAGTGGTCATGTTCAGTTTTCTTTTGCTAGTATCATTTGACTCCTTAAAAAAGTTGTAGCTTCAGATTCAGATGCCTGATGTGGGAAGAGAAAAGTCATCACAGCAGTTTCCTAAAAAAAACAAAACAAACTAACAGGCTACTTCCCTAGAGTTGATTCTGATTTACGATGAACTGCATTTCCAAGACTAATCTTTATGGAACCTTTTTTATTGTATACCGTCAAGTTAGAACCGACTCATTGCTGACCCTCCAGTGAATTTTCAGAGGCTATAAATAATGCTAGAGATTTATTCTCTATCCATCATTCTCCCACAGAGTGGCTTTGAGCTATGTTCCTTTGGGTTGGCAGCCCAACTCCTTACCACTATGTCACCTGAGCTCCTTGTATGGAACCTTAAAGAAGGGAAATGGGGCCCCACCCCTAGGATCCATAACTTTTCAGTAAAGTAACCAATTAACTGGATCTTACAAGTGTCAGGTTTGCAAACATTTCGAAGAAAAAATTATTTTGAAAATTATTTTCAAAGACATTTTTAAAAATATTTTCAGAATGTTTCAGAAAAGAGTAAAAGGGTGTTGTGCCTAGGATCCAGGGGCAGACCAGTTCAAAAGTGTGAGCTCGAGGCCTTGGAGTTGATGGTTATCATGTGGCTGGTAGAAATTTGCCTTTATTTTTATGCAGCCATCTAATTTAAAGATTCAGGATTCTCTGAAGTGATTATACTGTTTGGTAAACATTTTTTGATCATAATTGTTTAATGCCTTATAAAAAAACTTTCCTAACTCTCTCAAGTTGTCTTAAAACATTTAAATTACAAAAATTAAAATAGCTTCTCAAATTTAAAAGTAATCCTGTTGAATGAATATATGACTTTTTGACTACAAAATTACCATGTTTTTCTAAGACCCAACAAGAGCCCAGTATCATTGCTGATAAGGTCTACATTAATTAGGTGAAGCCTAGAAGTTCTTCTTATACTACTTTTGCAAAAGTTAGGTAAGGAAGAATAAATCAAGTTTATCTACTTGGCTCATACCTCCCCAACATGGATCTAAATGTATTTCTTTTCTTCTGTGACAATTAGTTGAAGGACAAGAGAATTAAGATTTTGTGAAAGACTGAAAACTCACAGACTTCTGCATATCAGCCATCTAAAGGGTAAATCTTAAAAGCTCCAAATTTTTTTGTATTTTAAGTCAGCACTGTGGTGATGGTTGAATGTATTTTAGAGTGTAGGAAACTTGTGCTGGTCAGTGTTAGCACCTAATCATTGAACCAGCATTAAACCATACCAAAAACCCAAACTCCCTGCAGTCGAGTTGATTCTGACTCTGAACCACCGTACAGAGTGGAACTGCCCAGTAGGGGTTTCAAGGCTGTAAATCCTAATGGGAGCATCCTACTTTTTCTTTCCCCCACAGAGTAGCTGATAGGTTTGAACTGCCAACTTTTGGTTAGAAACTGTGATTAACCACTCCGCCACCCGGGCTCCTTTGTTAAACCACATGTTACTCAACAAATGTGAAAAAATTAACACACTGTTTAGATTTAGAAGAGCCTCATCTAGGTGATAGTAAGAACTTTGCCATGAAATGGAGAGACACCTATTGCTATAATTCATAATGCCTTCGATACAGAATTTAAAACAATCTGATACTGAGTTGTCCTTTTAAAAAACCTCCAGAAAGCATTTGCTACTTAGGGTAGAGGAGGCAGTAAAAAGGACAAGATGAGCTTCCCCTGGAGTTAAGAGAATCATTATACTAATTTTCAACTGAAGCATATTTTCTTGTCACATATCTCTGGTTTATTTTGTTGTTATGTCAAAGTAATTTGTGGTACCATCAACCTAAGGAGGACAATCAAATAACCTATAGTTTGCCTTGGACTCAATATGTCTGGTAAAATTACATAGTCTCTTCTTGTATACCTTCAAACCAGTTACTTGATGAAGCTTCCATCATGTTACCTTAGCTCTTCCCGTGCTCTCCCCTGACCACCATAAATCAGAGGGAAGACTGTGGACTTAGAGCAAAGACTCTACTGCAAAGTCCTAAATGATTATAAAGTCCTTAACAGGCATTTCCCAGCTTGTCCTATAGCAATACCAGTGTGGAAAAGGGAGAAGGATTATGGGAAATCCCTAAAGAGTAATTAATTATGACATTGTTATTCTTTTGAACTGTAAAGTTCAAAACAGTTGTAAACTGATCCATTCACATTACAGTTGCAAAGAAGGCAAAACTCTAGATTTATCACATTGTAACTATTAATTTGCTATTTTCCAGAGTAGCTCAGAAATAGCAAGAAGTTTTTAGGAGAGAAATAGGTGAAACATGCATTTGTCTTCTCAAGCACTCCTCCACTCCCCTACTCATGTTTGCTTTCCCCTCTACAACACTGTGTTGATCAAAATGATATTATTCTATGAAACTCTGAGCTGTAGTTGTCAAAAATGACTATGGAATGTGATTAGTCCTCTGTGGGTGCTTCTTTCTTTTTTTTCTCCCTTGCTTTCTTTCTCACTCTCTCCACTCTGATAAATGGAAAAGGTGACGTCAAAGAGTTAATGCTTGCTTGGACTCATGTTGTATCTGTGACTATGCTATTAGCTGTCTCCTTTTTCCTTCTTAATATGGGTAGAATTCATAAGTGTGGAGTTCCCTTCTTGATAAGTAGGTTAAATGCACAATGTGGTACTGTTTTATAGTTTCTAGATGGTTGTATAAAGCAAAAAGTTAATGTGGCTACGTGTTTTTAAAAGAAAATAAGTGATTGGTTACAAAACTCTGTCCCTTTTTTCATTATTACAAGCTCTCTGTTTTCCAACAGTTTACTGACTCCTTTGTCACTGATGAATGAGGTGTGTGTTTCTCTGTTTGATTTTCTCCTTGGGTTTCTAAGATTCCTAAACATGATTCCTCTTGAAACTCTCTTGTTATATGGATTTAGGGAAAGCATTCAAGGTGAGTTGTTGGGTGTTTTGGGTTTTTTTTTTTTACTATTTTACTGAATTTAAAAATTTGATGACCTTTTT